GACGGCCGGGCCGCGTCGCCGCCACTAGGGGGCGCCAGGACCGCGCGCTCCGCCGCGTCCACTGGGGGCGCTGTCCCGCGGCGCTGCCCGGAGAAGGAGTTTCATAATCCTGAAAGGGCCACGCTGAGTGGCTGGAGCATAGACGCCGATTATGAAACGGTGCTTCTCATTGGCTGAGCTTCCCGGCCGGGACCGCGGCGGGGCCAGGCTGGACCCGAGGCCGGCGGGGTTGGGGCGAGACGAAGTGCGCGTTGTTGCCGCGGGGCGGGGCGGGGCGGAGCCGAGCCGTGTGCACTCCCGACGCTCTCTTGCCCTGTCTGAGAGCCGGCGATGGGCACCCGAGCGACGCCGTCGGGGACGCGTCTGTCCCTGCGACCCTTGCCACCCGCCCCCGCATCCTGAGCCCCGCCGCCCGTCGGAGGAGGAAGGACGGGGCACCGTGCAATGGGCACCGAGCGCGGCGGCCCCGAGCCCGCCTGCCGCGAGCAGTTCCGGGCCGCGGTCAGCGTCATCCAGAGTCTGCCCCGAACCGGTGAGGCCGCGGCAGCCTGTGGGGTGGCGTGCGGGCTGTCCCGGGCCACCTGTCCCCCCTGGGTGACCCACCACCACCCGTCCCCCATGACCCTTGACCCCCGTCCTTGGGCCTGGGTGACACGGTGCCCTGGTCCCACCCTGCGCAGGCTCCTACCGCCCCTCCTATGAGGAGATGCTTCGCTTCTACAGCTACTACAAGCAGGCCACCCTGGGGCCCTGCCTGGCGCCGAGGCCCGGCTTCTGGGACCCTATCGGACGCTACAAGTGGTGAGCACCCTGCGCCCGGGCAAGTGCTCCTGCCCTGGCCGCCTTCTCACTGGCCTCTGCTCTAGGGATGCCTGGCGCAGCCTGGGCAGGATGAGCAGGGAGGAAGCCATGTCTGCCTACGTCGCTGAGATGAAACTGGTGGCACAGAAGGTGGGGAGCCCGGCCCTGCTGCCCCTGAGCTCCAGGGTGTCCCGCCCCTCCCCGCCCCTCCAGCGCCACGGCCACTTTCCCGACACTGATGCCCGGAGTCACCACCTTCCTGCCACCCCGTCCCCTGGTCTGGTGCTGAGGGCACCAGGGGGTGTGAGACAGTGACACTGTCCTCACGAGCTCCCCTCCCAGTAGGTGATTGACACGGTGCCCCTGGGGGAGGTGACAGAGGACGTGTTCAGCTACTTCGCACCCCTGTACCAAGTGATCCCGGACATGCCGAGGCCTCCGGAAGCCTTCCTGAGAAGGGTCACAGGTCGGGTCCCAGCACCAAGCTGCCTCAGGTGCAGGCTGGAGACGTTGCTGTTTGGTGGGTGGGAGCTGGTGGCAGAAGGAGGACCCCCACTGGTCCCTTTCATGGCCAAAAGGGACCAGACTTCCTCCTGGCCCCACCCTTGTGTGCTATGTCTGCACAGGCTGGAAAGAACAAGAGCTTTGCAGTGATGACCCGGCTGCTCCAGAGCCTCCCTCGCTCCCCGAGGAGCCAGCATCCCCAGGCCCAGGTCAGTGGTGGCCAGACCCGGGCTGGGGGTTGAGGAGAGGTCTGGGGGCCCACTGTGCGCTCTGTTCCTTGTGCTCCTGAAGGCCAGGGCAAGGCTGAGATCCTTGTGCCCACTGTACCAAGGCCCTCCTGCCGCTGCCCAGCCCCATGCACCCTCCCCCTCTTGGCAGTGACCAGCTCCTGCTCCCCAGAGCCTCAGAGCCCCAGAGCCCTGGACCTGGAGGTTTTCTGTGATTCCCTGGAGCAACTGGAGCCCGAGCCGGTGAGACCCCCTCCTCCCCTGCGCCACACTGGGGGCCATGGCTGTCCCCCACCTCACCTTGTCACTCAGGTCTTGGCTGAGCAGAAGGGAGTGGCAGAAGAAGACCCGGAGACCGGGACCAGCCCTGAGCCCCCTCTGGACAAAGGTGAGCTGCCTTCCCTAGCCTCCCTCGGCACCCTCTTGGGGTGAAGGCAAAAGTCCAGGCTCTGTGGGGGCAGCCTGTTCAAGCAGGGCTGCCAAGTAGCAGACATGGCCTGGACGGACAAAGTCCCTGCCCCACCCCTCCCAGGGCCACCCCGGGCAAGTTGAGTCCTTGAGTTCGCCTGTGTTGGGCAGGGCCACGTGTGCCCCTCTGGAACACCAAGGACAGCTGTGAGTCTGGCCCCAAACCTCTGGAGAACGCTGTGTGCTGAGTCCCCACAGGGGCACTTTCACCCATGCTAAGTCCCCCTTGCTCCCCGCAGCAGGCCTGTGAGGATGTTGTCTTGCCCTGTCGTTAGTCTTCAGGGTGCTGGGTGATCTCAGGCCTCCCCTGCTCAGAGAGTCTCTGCTGCCGGGGGCACCAGAAGTCACAGATATGCCTGAGTCTTGGGCTCATCTGGCCAACCCTGGCCCTGGCAGCCCGCTGCCTGTCCTGCTGCCTGCCCTGTCCCCACCCTACCCCTGCCTGAGCCCTCGTGGACTGTCCCCTCCCTATATCTCTGTTCTGCAGAGGAGCTAGAGGGCCCCCGGGGGCCCCAGGACTTGGACACGTGGCTGGTGGGCACAGTCCAGGCCCTGCAGGAGAGCATGCAGGATGTCCAGGGGCGGCTGCGGAGCCTGGAGAGCAGGCCCTGGCCCCCTGCACAGGTGAGGCCTGCCCCTCCCCGCGGTGAGCCGCCTTCGACCTCGTGTCTCGTGTGCCCAGGGCTCTGGTTTCTGTGGGGGACAAGGAGGTTGGGGCTGGTGGCTTCCACCCTGGAGGGAGGGTGGGAAGGGGATCCCTCCTGGTTCTCCTCTGTAGTCCCGGGTGGAGGACTGGCCATGTCTGCTCTTTGTACGGGGCTGGAGTCCCTGTCCCCAGGGGTCCAGGTTACCCCAGCAGTCCAGCCCTCACCCCTGTCCTGAAACCTTGGCTCTGGTGGACTTGGTAAGTGCTGCCTTTGCTAAAGCCCCGGCAGCCACACAGTGACTCTAGGGGCAGCTTCCTCTTCATCTCCCTTTACAAATGGGGGAACTCAGGCACTACAGAGTTGACGTGGGGGCACCTGGCATGGCAGGGACTGGATAATGCAGGCTTCGGGTGCTCAGGGCACAGGCCTGGGGGTCTGATGTCCACCTGTTACTATTATGAACACCATCCCCTGGGCTGGGTGTGGCCCAGCTCCCTCTGCCCTTATCCACCAGGTCTGAAGTTTGTTATTCAGAATCCTCCGGTCGCTGCTCAGGAGAGGGCTGAGCTTCCCCTTGTGGGCATTCTCTGGGTGACCCCTGACCCGCTGGGCACCCTGGATGAGCCTTCATGGCAGGGATTTCGACATGGCCTTCCCTTCCCCCGCAGATTACCTTTCCTTTCCTTCTTTTCAACTTTTACTAGATTTTTATTTGTTTGTTTGTTTTTTGTCGTTTTGAGACAGGGTCTTGCTATGCAGTTCAGGCTGGCCTTGAGCTCACTTTGTAGCCCAGGCTGGTCTTAAGCTCTCAATGATCTTCCTGCCTCAGCCTCCCAAGTGGTGGGATTACAGGCATGTGCCACCATACCTGGAAACTTTTACTAGTTTTAAATGCCAAGGATTTAAAAATATATTACAGACATTCTGATGTTCCATCCTGAAATAATTGGGAGTTTTTTGTTTGTTTGTTTGTTTTTTGAGACAGGGTCTCACTGTATAACCTAGGCTGGCCTTGAACTCACAGCAATCCTCCTGCCTCAACTTCCCAAGTGCTGGGATCACAGGCTGTATGCCACCACGCCCGGCTTTAAAATGTTTTGGCTAGGGAGTAGAATATTTTCATTGGCTGGGTGAGGTGGTGCATGCCTGTAATCGCGGTACTGAGAAGGCTGAGGAAGGAGGATCACTGTGAGTTTGAGGCCAGCCTGGGGTGTAAAGTGAGTTCAAAGTGAGCCTGAAGCGAGACCCTTCCTCAAAAAATCAAAACCAAGGGGCTGGGGATTTAGCTCAGTGGCAAAAGCGCCTGCCTGGCAAGCGCAAGGTCGTGAGTTCGGTTCCTGGTACTGGAGAAAAACCAAAA